CATCCCCCCATCCCCGGGGCGTTGCAGGCGCCTCCCGATCCCTGTAAGGAAGCGCGTTCCGCCCTGGGCCCCCGGCCAGCGGCCATGGGGGCTGCACATGGAAGCGATCCGCAGCCGGGAGCGCATCTGCCAGCGTGGCTGCGGGACCAGACCCCAGTAAAAATAGCCCGGCCTGGCCCGAGTCCCGGCTGCCGCCGGGGAGCCCCCGCAGCCACGCCCTGCTGCTTTTGGGGTGGGCTCAGACCCCCCTTTGAGCAGGATTTCTTCTGTAGACCTCACCTCATGCATCAAAAATGCCCCTGGACTTGCTTCAAAAGGTCAGTCTTACAGCCCTGTCCAGGATGGGGACAGCCCGGGCCAGAACTTCCCCTCAAGCTGAGGGCACGTTGTGAGATGAAAGATAAAAATCGCTCTAAATCGCTGGACTTTTCCAGGACTGGGTCAGGGAAACCTTCACAGGGCTGGTGTATTTTGAGGTGACCCTGTCTCGGGGACCTGCATAAGGTCCAGGTGAGCCTTGAATGTAATGCTGTGTCTTCAAATATGAGTGCTAATTCTGTCCCAAGGCAAGAACCACAGAATGGGCTGGGCTGGGAGGGACCTTAAAGCTCATCTTGATCCAGCCCCTGCCATGGCAGGGACACCTTCCACCAGCCCAGGTTGCTCCAAGCCCCAATGTCCAACCTGGCCTTGGGCACTGCCAGCGATCCAGGGGCAGCCACAGCTGCTCTGGGCACCTGTGCCAGGGCCTGCCCACCCTCACAGGGAAAAATTCCTTCCCAAAATCCCATCTAAACCCTCAGTTTGAATTCATTCCCCCTTGTCCTGTCACTACATCTTTCTTGTATTGTCCCTTCAGGTCCTGAAGGGAGATGGGTGAGCTACAATCAGCAGAGCCACCAGCCCTTATTTTACCAGGGGATTTCCTCATGGACAGTTAGGCTGCCCAGAAGAAGCCACAAAATCCTACACTGCCTCTTACGCCCACACTTCATCCTTAAAGAGTGATAGTGGACAGTCCCTGGAACAAACAATTACAAAAAAAATCACTGTCAAATCTCACTTTTTCAGTTGAAATCAAGAGGGTTTTGTATGACTCTGATGCCCTTGGAGACCAGAAAGCAACGAGCCTGCTGGTGAGAACTCCAGGGTTCAACCCTAGAGCACACACATAACCACTTATGGTACTAGTGGTGTCATAAAAGTGAAGAGCAGGATGTGTCCTAGAGTTCAACATTGAAGCCAGACCCTTAAATTTAGGACAGCATCAGCATTTAATGCTTGGTTAGGTTCCGTCGATGCTGTAGCTTTGCATTTAATCACAGCCTTCTAGGGAGACCTTTACAAGGAGAGGCAAAGTGGCTCTGACACATTTTATTAGCCAGTATTAAATTTATTACATCACTAAAAGAAGCCAGTCTAGAAGTCTGTAGATGCTCAGATGTACCTGCCCTACACGGCCAGTGTTGACATTGCAAAGTCAGGAGTTCAAGGGAAACCATGTCTTCCGTGCTGGGCATTCCTGGAAATTAGGACTGTATCCAAGTGCTTGAGCAGAGATGCAGATAAACCTGGAGCCTGCAGCAAAGGATCTTCGGGAAATGGGGACAAATGTGCGGCCATTTCCTTGGCCTGGGCTCTGCTGCTTTTGGGATGGAAATACTCCAACTCCCAACCCCAAAATCATTGCAGTAAGATGGAGATGATCAGGTAAAAGAAGGGGATTTGGAAGAGCCTGGATTTTCTAGGTGCTCCGTTGCTTTCTGCCTGTGTTTTGCAGCCCCATGAGTGTTTGGGGCAGAACAGCCGCTCCCGGGGAGCCACACCCGGCAGGGAGCTCCCTGCAAGCAAGCGCCGTTCCGCCGGCCGAGCTGAGCATCCCGAGTGGTTCCAAATCCCCAAACTTTAATCCACGAGAACTTTAAACTTCTCGGAGCTTGCCCAGAGGTCGGGGCTCACTCAAAATGGCAGCAGGCAGCTCCCGGGGAGCACAGCCTTCAGCCTTCCCAAGAGCAAACCCCGCGGCTCAGCGGGATGAGCAGCCCCAGCGAGAGCCGGGCGTGCGCTCCAGCTGCGGGGTGATTTATCTTTTTCGGTTAAACAGAGCAGATCCGAACCAGATGTGTAACCTTTATCTCCATCGCTGCGGAGAGAGACGGGGGAGCAGACAGGGGAGAGGGAAAGACGTTCGAGTTTCCATGAGCGGCCGCTCCGCAGCCTCCCGGAGCCAGCTCACCAAGAAAAATGAGCCCCAGCAGCCAGGAAACTTCGCGGCGCTCACCCCGGGTTTTGTTTCGCTCCCCGTCGCCGCGGCGACCGCGCCGAAATAAAAGCTGCGATGAGCTCACCGTGCTGCTCCGTAAAACCTGGTATTATAAAGATATAACCCTGATACTAAAAGATATAACCTTGCTACTATAAAGGTATATAACCCTGATATTATAAAGATATAACCCTAATATTATAAAGGTATAACTCTGATATTATAAAGGTATAACCCTGATATTATAAAGATATAACCCTGATATTATAAAGATATAACCATGATACCATAAAGATATAACCCTGATACTATAAAGATATAACTCTGATATTATAAAGATATAACCCTGATACTATAAAGATATAACCATGATACTATAAAGATATAACTCTGATATTATAAAGATATAACACTGATATTATAAAGATATAACCCTGATACTATAAAGATACAACCTTGCTATTAAAAAGGTATAACCCTGATACTATAAAGATATAACTCTGATATTATAAAGATATAACCCTGATACTATAAAGATGTAACTCTGATATTATAAAGAAATAACCTTGCTACTATAAAGATATAACCATGATATTATAAAGATATAACCCTGATACTATAAAGACATAATCCTGATATTATAAAGATATAACCCTGATACTATAAAAGTATAACCCTGATATTATAATGATACACCCTGGGCAGGGGCTTGATGATGAGCCTTGTGCTCT